TAGTGCATTAATAGTTAAAACTTTTGATATTTATTTTAAACATTAAAAACAACACAATTACAATTTTCTTTGCTACTTATCACTTCTAATTTTGATAAGCCTTAAGTCAATTTAATGACTTTTAAACTTGTCAATTTTGCACACACACTTCATGAAGGATTTTTTTTACTTTCATTTCTATTATCCAAAAAACAACAATCAGGTTGTCTGTGTAATCAAAAGGCACCTATAGATTTAATGAATAAACTCTATTTTTCATATCTGTTGCTCCTAAGTGTGAAGTCTTTTTTTTTTTTTTACACTGGCCTGAGTGTCTGGGATCAATCAAAATAACAGTGAGGCTCAGTAGAGTGTTGGTCAAATACCCAGAAATCAGTTGATGTCAAGGATTCCGAAAAGATAGATTTTGTTTTGCTTAGAAGAAAGACAGAAAAAATAAGTGATTTGTATAAATTTTAAGTTATTTTTATTTCTGCTTTTTAAATTTGTATTAAAATAGTTTATTTCAACCTTTTCTCAACAATGCCCACTTAAGGCACTAGAATGCATATATATATATTATTTAATATAATTTTATTTACAAATACATTTTTTTATTAATGTGATTTATAAAAAAGAATAATTATGCTAATGTACATATTTTAAATATGATTGACTTAAGCACAATTAAAATAGAGCCCAATTCTCACTGTTCAGCCTTGACAAAGTTCAAAAGTGCTTACATGGCTTTGTGGGTGATGAATTATTCTGCATTCTACAACCCTTATCCCACAGCCTTTCCCTACTATATCACTATTACTATGGCAAGTTACATTCCTTAGTTACAGCAGCTCACACCTTCACAACTAGGACTCACCATGCCATATTCATGGTGGCAAACCATCTCCATTCCCTTTGTGCTCCTTTGATAAAAAGTAAGTTCCACTCAGACATCTTCCCCAGAACTATTGCTTTGTGGAATACTCAAGAAAATGCTTCCTTGATAACTACAATCTTTAAGTCAAAGGTCAACTGATATCTATCCTATTTGTTCTAATAATACTTCACCTTTCCTTATAATTTTACTCAGTAACCCTCTACCTTGAATTTCTTTTGGGTCTTGCATTGAGGGAGTTATCTTTTTAAAAAAAAATTATCAGCTATTTTTAATTAATATATGATTCCTGTAACTGACAAACACCAACATTTTTGTAATATTCATTTCCAACAAGAAAACAAAACCCGGTCATTGCACTGATTCCATTCACTTTTTATTCTGTTGGAACTAAAGAGTTGGGAGGTACCTTATAACTTCTGAAGTTAGGCAAGAACTATCTTAGGTCAGTAATGAGTCAAACAAGGCTAAATGATCTCTCAATACTTTTCATTGATTGACATTTGCTGAGGAAATAGATTTTGATTTGGGGTTCTAGATTTTATGGAGAGGAAGACTAGAAACATTAACTTTTAAAACTAGTCTGTTGTTGCTTTTTATATATTTTTTTCTGCAATCAAAAGAAAACAAACGGCAGTAATTGTAATTTATCTTTATATTTCTGATATTGTCCAGTTTTGAAATGTTGTTTAGAGGGGTGGCAACTTCTATGACAATAGCACAAACGTTACATACACTGCTGGCTAATCCTGAACTTCACTAATTTTCTTCAAAGTGAATCTCTGGGACAGATATTAGATTTTTAAGCAGTTTTTAATGAGAGTTAATTGCTCTTTTGTTAACATCTATCAAATTCATTTAGCAAGCTATGTAGAAGTGGTTTTGGTTTAGATATATCTAAATATCTAAAAATCTTATTTAAATACATGAAATTTTTTCTTTCTTTACAGATTAATTTTTAAACATTATCTTTTAAATAAAAATAAAATTCAACTTCAAAGAAAAATTTTCTAAATGGCTTTAAATGCATTTTCAAGTTCTTTTTTTCAAAGTATCTTTTTCTTCATCATATTTTACTGCATTTGTCTTACTGTAAGAGCAACAAATTTATATATTATTCATTTTCCATTAATTACAAGAATGGCCAGGGCTATGAGGAAGAGGAAAAAAAAATAGGAGTATGTTTTCCATTTAACCTCAAAAATGATTTTGTTTCACTTTAACTTAGTTAAGTATATGCCTGACTGATAAGTTATATAAAAGTAATGTGGTTAGTGATGAGATGTAGTCAATGTTCATGTTCATGTTTCAACAATTTTATCTGATATCTTTATCATGATTCTATATATTTTATCCTGATTTTTGATAGTGCGAACCAGCTCAAGAACATACAGGCTAGAATTAGGCTGTAAGGTTCAGCCCGTGTTTCTCCATTGAAATGAGTTTCAATAAACAACAGATAATTTCAGAACCCAGTTCCTAGTTAGTTGTTGAGTGCATGCGATTTGAATAAACTTGTAGCCACAACAGTCATATAAATTTGTTCTTGTTTGCTAGTCTTTGATAATAATTTGATACTGCTACTTAGATTTTGTAACAAAATGTTGATCTTGTCTTGGTATTCTGCTTACCAAATGATACCTTTCTTTTCTGAAGATCACATGTTTAATACATAAAGTATTTTTAAATGCATGTTATTGAGATTTTAAATTATTTCAATAATGAGCAATAAAGTCAGATATTAAATATCATGCTTTGGGAAGAGCAAAATGGAAAACAAAAGAGACTAATTTATGATATCAAAAACACATAACAATATTTGGATGTTCCTGAAAATAGGGATAATACGATAACAGTTGAAGCTGGAAATATAGGAACAACTATTACCAGTTTGGCAGAAGGCATTTTACAGCAACAGCCATCATCAATTGAATGAATATAAAAGAACAAATGATATTGGTGGATGGTCAAACAATCTAGATCAGGAGAGGGGTGGGGGGGTCTTTTGCTTTCCCTCTTTTTTTTTATTTACAGAATTTGAAATCCATCATGAGTATCAAAAGACAGTATTATGAATCTTATATTCAACATGGATTTGCATCCATCATCAATGGAGAAGAAAGCTTTCAGTGTGTATTTTGTTGCAAAGCTTAGTCAAACAATTCTTTGAAACCAACAATATCTGCAGAATGTTCATCTTCAACATAGAAGTTTTTTTTGAATGTCAGGGAAAGGCTCTCAAAAAAAGGAAGCTGGATACAACATGGGCATTCCAAGATACAAACCAAAAGGTTAGTGAAGCTTCTTATGTCATAGCACTGGAGATAGGAAAGCAGGAAAAAAACAATTGGGGAAACTTGGACCAAACAATGCTCTCTCCAAATAGTGGAAATTGTTTTGGGAAATGGGTTGGTGATAAAACTTGCAACAGTTTCATTATCAAACAATACTGTTCAAAGGAGGATCAGCGATATGGCCATTGACACCAAGGATCAAGTAGTACAAGTTTGCAGCATCTAGCATCTTTTCAATTTGTCTTGATGTTGCATTGTATTCCCAATTGCTGGTGTTTGCAAGGTATGTTCACTCAGGTTCATTTAAAGAGGAGTTACTGTTTTCTCTTGAAACAACTACAAAGGCCTCTGATATTACGGGGGAAAAAATTATCTTTCTTTAAATCAGAAAATCTTTTGTCAGATAATGTCTCTAGGTGCTGTACAGATGGAACACCAATTGGGGACAAAATCTGAATTTCAAGTTTGTGTGAAAAACTGAGCAGCAAAAGTGAAAAGCATTTATTGTATACTCCATTGTCAGGTTCTGGCCTCAAAAAGACTTCCAGCTCCAATTGGGAAGGTTTGGGATCAAACAATTCAGATTATGAATTTTGTCAAAGAAAGATCTTTCAACTCGCGACTCTTCAAGTAGTTGTGTATTGACATGGATGCACACCATCATTTGCTTCTTTTTCACAAAAATATTTACTGACTTTGACGAGGAAATGTAATTGAGTATTTGAGTTTAGAGATGAACTCAAATTATTTTTTGAGATCGATGGTAAGATGATTTTTTTGTTTGGCTGGATGATGAGGAATGGATCATGTACCTTGCCTATTTGGTTGACTTTTTTTTTTTTTTAGCAGCTGAATAAACTTAATCTTCAGATGCAAGAAAGGAATACAATCAGAAAATTTATGGATTCCTTGAAAACTTTCATGAGCCAGCTGGAAATTTGAAAGTGAAAGATCATTATAAAAAATAATGCAATGTTTGATAAACTGTCATCAATTCTACTTGCTGGTGATAAAAACCAAGTGCTACCACAATTTGCAAAAACTGAAATTTTGCAGCATTTAGCACTAGGAAATGAATTCAGACAATGTTTTCCTGAACTCAGTGATGTTGAGTTTAGTTTGAAATCCACTTAAATTGTCAGTTGAAAAAGTTCCTGATGATTGTCAAGATGAATTTCTAGAGTTGAAGGCTGATCCAGGAGAAAGAGATATGTTCAATGATAATCACAGAATTTTGGATTTTGCGATTCCTATCCAAAAGTGGCAGAAAGCTATCTATACATTGCTTCCATTTGTGTTGACAGCAACATATCATTGTGAGTTGGGATTTTCAACTAAGTAGATTGAAAGTTGAAAATGACCTGTGTTGTGCCCTTTCAAGTACTCCTCCATGTATCCCAGAATTGGCAAGGAAAAAACAATCCAGTTTCTCATTGACTGTAATCTTCATCAAAATAAAATTGATTAAAATACCCTGACCTTTTGTTGAACATTTTTTTTATTGAAGTATGCTTCAGTTTATGGTGGAGTAATGGATAGTTCAAGGTACAATATGCTCATAAATTGGCTAGGGTATTATGTATCGTTTAAGCTGTATCCCGGGAACACACACGTACATACATACACACATACAAGATTAGAGTTTTAGTACTATATAGATTATGGCATTAGTAGTCGAGATTGAACCACAACTGGTAATGACAACTTGTATTGCAAGCATTTTACTGTCTATTCAAATAAAATAAAAAAAAAAAAAAAGCACCAAATGAAGAACAAATAAAAGCCAAAAATTAATCCCAACTCTACAGATTTTATTGGTAAAAAATCTTTTGTCAAGACACAATTGTTCCATAATTCTTTGTGTGTGTTTCACTGTTTGATGTTGAATCTATTAATTTTACCTCGGCTTCATCATTTTCTGTAATGTCATCTGACCAGGGGGCTTTTTCAACTTTGGCTAAAGTCAAAAATAACAAATACCCAAAGATATTGAGTCCACTAGCCAGAAAAAATACTTTCTTCCACTGATCCAGAGTTTCCTGGAAAAAATGTAAAATTATATTCATGTGCCCATGTGTTTTACTGAATGTGACAAATCTTTTTTTTTTTTTTTTTTTTTTTTTTAAATAATAAAAATAATGATAATACACTTTTCATATATTCAGATATAGGTCATAGTTAACAGTTGAACCTTTTAAGAATTTTAACCATCTGAGATTTGTCTAAGAATGTAAGAAGCAAGAGAAGGATTAATGTCAAGAAATCTGATATATCCTATTAGTCCTCCATATACATTTAATGAAATTTCAAAGTGAGTCTGTTGTTTAAATCTTCAAGAAATGTTTACTCATATGAAAGGGTGCAGAATGGTTCTGGATATAATCCTCTTCCCAGACATCAGTATTTTCAAGAAAATCCCTTCTTGGTTTCAGCATCATGTATGTGTGTGTGTGTGTTTCTTTTTATCTATCTATATATGAAATGGATTTAATCCGACAAATATTTTAATATATTTTCTGTTTATATGTTTGTTTTGTTTATGGATACACTTATTTGAGTAAATACTCTATTTTTTAATTAAATAATATTAATTACATTTACTAGCCTGAATGCTCAAGAAAATTTGTAGAAAATATGTTTCCTCCGACAGGAATTGAACATGTATCCTATATGGAACCGTCATTAAATCTGATGTGCTATGATAGTTCAGCCACAGAACTTCCAGTTAGCAAAGCTCAAATTACTGCTTTTAAACACACACCTTCGCTGATTTTTCTTGATCCAGGCCAAACCACAGCCGATGTTCTCCAACTTGAAGGCTTGCCTTAGTCACAGACATATGGTTGTTGATTCTATAGGAGAACCCTCCGCCCTGGCCATTGACTTAAATCTAGGAAACTATCTACCCAGCAGTGCTGTGCCATCACTGCACTGGCTGTATACATAGCTATGGAGTCCAGTCTAACACCTGGCCATTGACCCTACAGAAAGGTTCACCTACGCTTTGACATATCTTGTTTTTATCCTGCTGGGTATCTAGCCACCTTTCTTAGTAGAAAAGCCTGGTTTAGTTGCTGGTGACTTGACAAATTACAATATTGTTATTCTGTGTTAACTCAAAATTTGGTATGTGAATTTTGGTTCTTTTCCAGTAGAAATGAGTTTTCACAAAAGCTTATCATTTGTAAATAATAATAGATACAAAATTCTTGTTGATTTCTTTGTATTATATTTTGATACAATGTATCAATTTTCATTATGTAGGAAAATTTTTGTAGTTGATAACATGTTCTACCGAATGGTGTTATTGTGCTCCCTGTATCCATTATAGTTTCCTTGGAAATATAGAGGTATTATTTTCAGAGTACTCTCTTAATATACAAAGAAATAGCAAAGTTCTACATAAACTTGTATAACTTTGAGGCAATTGAGGTGGGGATAAACCTAAATTACCAAACCTTTGACGCCACATGAACTCCAACAGATAATATTTGATTGAACCTCTTTGAGTTTCATGCAAAGATTTATGCTTGACCTAGATTTATTCCACGTGTCTTCAATGTCATTAATGCAAAAATCTATTTGAAATGGGTCTGCTGAAGTACAGCAGCATTTATTTTTTGATATTTATTTTCATAAACTTGTCTAAACTAAAGTTTAAGAGAACACTGCTTCTGCAAAATAAAAATAAAAAGTGACATACCTCTACATCTGTGATGTACCCTGTAACAAGTGGAGCCAACATTCCAGAAAAATTTGCTAAACAATTAGCAATTGCATAAATAACACCTGCAGAAAAGATATAGAACCAACATTTTAAAATATTTTGTGAAAAGAATGGTATTTATTTAATAGTGTCAGTAAATTTATACTTGATTATGTTATTTTTAAAAGCTCCAATTGTTCATTTAAATAATTTGTAACAACATTGTACTACTTATTGATGTCCTTCCAAAATAAAATATCTTAAATGTATTGAGTCATAAATGGACATGAAGTTTTCTTTAAACATATGTATACACAAACTTAATAGCTCTGATGGAATGGCCCTTCAAATCTATAAACCACCTATATATATATATATATATATATTTCACTGAAAGTAGCAGATAAGGAAAATTTTATATTTTTTTAATTTAGTTTTTCTAATGCACTTACAGTTTTTCTCTTATGAGGACTAAGAGAATGTGTAAAAACTGTAGTGACTAATGTGCCAAGTGCTTTTGGCCAATTAGTTATTTTCAATGGTTGTTAGTATATTTTCTGTGTTTGTGTTCTAAGCTGCATTGTGTAAAAGTAGTAGTATTTCATATTGGGGTGCCATTAAACAAACTACAAACACATTCTGTCTAGTTTCAAAGAAAGTGAGACTGAGGCTTGGCATAAATTTCTATGTTCTTTAAATGCTTTTTGAAGTTAGATGTTCTTAGAATGACAGTGTTATCTACAAGGGTTCTTGTTATGGGAGTAGGAAGTTGTGCATGAATGTTTGTGTTTTCTCATCAAACTAAGGTCACTTAAGTTTCTATTAACACACACACACACACACACACACACACATATATATATGATGTGCTGTCCAAAAATAAATTCAGGGAATTTAAACTGCACATGCAAACTGAATGTAGTATAGACTTTATCATTACTCATTTTGCACATTACATTTCTTAACATCTAGTTTCAACCACCTCCTTTGAAGGAAACATTGGGAACTAGAAAATAGAACAAGTCATTGTTTTATGATCAAATTCCCAAATTTTTGGGTAGTATCTCCTATTTTTTATATATTTATATATATATATATATATATATATATATATATATATATTTATATATATATGAAACATGGTTAGAACTGTGTAGCGAAAAAAAACCATATTTTAAATCAATTAATTTATAATATTAATGCTCTGTAAATTTACATTGAGCAGTATTTTGTAAAAATAAAAATATCTATAAGAACACCGGATTATATATCTTACTGTTCTTTCTTTTTATTTATATATATATATATATATATATATATATTATTACATAAAGTTATTTTTAGTGGATACCTGTATTTGAATATGGCCAAGCAGTTGGGCCATGCTGGATCAGACAGTGGTTTCTCCTGCCAAAGGGGATGCAGGTTCGACACCTGCAAGAGGGTACTATTTCTTTATTGGATTTTCTTGGGTGCCCAGGCTGGTAGGCAGAATACACATTTTTAAAAATCTAGATGTCTACTCAAATACAAGTATCCACTAAAAATAACATTTGAAGTAATGAAAATGTCAGATTAAAAAATGTGTGTGTGTGCAAAAATTTCCAATATATATCTGTAAAAGAACTGAATAAATGATGCACACACGTGTGTGTATTTTATATATGTGCTGTGCATATTGGAAAGCACTCAATATTAGTGATAGAGCTGACATATTTAGTTGAATGGGTATGAGTTTGTGACTGTCAGTTTCACACTTATGCAATCCTCAAACAAACTGATTTATTTTTTAAAATTTGAGACTATTTATGTCAGTTTTTGTTTGATTATGTTTGGTGTTGATGGGGGTCGGAATTCTCCTCTGTGTCTCTTTTGGGATGATGCTCATATGCATGGAGACCTACAGGTGTAGGCATTATGACTCACACATACATATGTATATATAAAGAATGCGGGACCAAGCACAGATATTTATCCCTCATTGTTTATATATGTATATATCCCACATTATATTTTTATGGGAGAATTGTTTGCCTAAGTGCTCACTCACTTTTCTTTGTTAATTATTGGTAGTGGTGGGGTAGAGGCATTTGTGCAAAGGAAGTACAAACTACATCAGTTGGAATTTGAATGTTTACTGTCACATTCACAATGTTTCAGCTATTATATACTATACTCCAGCTTTCTACAGGTGATATTTGTTGGAATTTGGAACCAAACCCTTTTGTCTAGTCCACAGGGCTAGATTGTTCTAATTTCATGTACCGTGCCTTTGGACATCTTAGTTTTTTTTAGTTAAATCACCTTGGTTGTTCTCACTGCTGAAACAAGGGATTGAAATCAACATTTTGAATCAATCAAACAACATTTTTATCCATTAGGCTATACCTTTATTTAAGTATTGACCTCTCAAAATTGTTTTTCTATTAATTCAATTATAGCATTAATGGTTTCAGCTCTGAGTAAAAGGTCTGGCATCTTTGGCATGTTAATTCTGAACAAATCTGTTCAATGAAGCTTCATGCAGAGATTATTTTTTGTATTTTTCCTGTTTTAATTATTATATATTTTTTTTTTTTTTTTTTTTTTAACAATGTTTTTCCTGTATAAGGCCCAAAAGCCACTCAATATATAGGGTTACATATGAAGAGGCACAGTTTATGTGGGGGAAGATAATGGTTAACACTAGACTTGAACAGGTTAAGATTGTAGTGATTGGGGAAACATCCACTTGGGAGTCAGCCACAGAAAGCAGTGGTTTGTGGAAACAACCTGCTTAAGTGGAACTTATTACTCTCCAATGGAATATGAAGGTGGTTCACTACAATGCGTGTGGCATGATCTTAGCCATAAAGATTAGAACTGATGTAACTAAGGTATGTAGTTTGCCTGAATACTTTCAATGGAAATAGCAATAGAGTAGTGAGAGGCTTGCAACATTTCACTTGACAGAAAGTAGTTTTATGGTGGAAAATAATTCATCACTCATTTTACTCTATCAAGACTGGAAAGTGAAGGCTGGGCAGCTCCTGTCTATATATGACAGCAGTACTCCATTTTTGGCCTGATTTGGCTCTTCTAAAGGTAAAGGACAGCAGGAGGAGTCAGGTACTTACTGGAGCAGTACAGGGAACCAATCATTTTTCCAGCATCCTTAATGATGGATTGTATGTACAAGTTTCAATTGAGGTCTCAGTTAAGCTTAAGTGCTCAAGGCATGGTTCCCTCCCTGAGAGAACACCTGTTCATTACAATAGGTAAAAATTCAGGGTCCGTTTAGAATTCTATTACAAATTACTGCTTAGAATGTATAGGATATTTTTTTAGCTCCTGTGTGCACTAAAATAGGTAAACTGTCATAAATAAATGCTCAATACAACATCTCTCATACTGAAGAAGTAATAGTAAATTGTGTAAAATTTAAAGCAAATTTTTTGTGCTATAGACTCTTACCTGCATATCTTGGAGCGATATCAATAATACTAATTGACATTCCGGCATCTCCAAAACCTCCAAAAGCATGAGTGAGGATAAACATTGTAATGACCAAATTGCTTTTACAACCAAGAAAAGCAATTGTGAGAGTAGTGATAGTCTCCGGAATTACACCTTAAAAAAAAAATTAAAAAGGGAAAATGAATTTTTCTGGTAAAAGTCTCTTCTGTGGCTCATTTTTACATTTTGTATTAATCAATAGGATTAGATAGGTTCACCTATTGCCCAGTTCACACTTCTTCCCCATCTATTGAACAGAAATAGAGGTTTCCTTGTTTCCACTTCCTTCTGAATTCTTCTAATTCTCTTTCACTCCCAGTAACCCCTTGCATCTTAGTGGCATTGTCGCTCTGCTTGGTGTGAAATGATTAAAACAAAACTATTGTCCTTTAAAGAATTTCAATTGTTGAATCCTTGAAGTCCTGACCAAATTGTTGAAAAATATGAATGTTAAATTTAATTGATATATCTCAAAACCCACTGAAAATCAAATATTAAAATTCATTTTATATGAGAGTAAATGGATTTCTCTTTCAAACGATACCAAATTTAGCTTCATTGGTATTACTGGTCATCAGTTTTGAAAATTTACAACTTTGTAAAGTTGTAGCCCTCAACCCTCTCCTGGTCGTCCAAGACATCTAATACCATGACTGATCAATGAAGTGATCACTCCAATCCTGGACCTGCCTTGTGATTTGATTTGATTATAAGGAGGCCAAGATTGAATCATCAAAGATATCCTTGTATTGGGCTAGTCCAAGCAGGGGGAAGGCACACAGGAAAACAAGAGAAAAAAAATAACTTGAATAATATAAAAATATATATACTATTTTTATATCCAGTTCTTTATACAATAGTTGGTTAAAAATGTAGAAGCTTGCATGCATTCAATTCTCAACCCGACCCATTTCTAATCGAAAGTGACACTTTGATGATGTTGGCAAAGGCCATTTTGCTGGCTTGGTTAAGTGTGGCACGAGGCTGATGTCAAAAGTCTTGTCAGCAGATAGTCATGTGTGTTGTCTTACGTCTAGTGGCTGGAACAAACTCTCGTAACAATCTCTGTCTTTTCATCTCAAGACATTCATATTTATTGATGCTTGCCCAAAACTGGTGTGGGGGTGTGAAGTGGCTAGGTATGTGTCTAGCATTTTCTCTACCTGTCACAAAGAACCCCTTCTCCATTGCCTGGGTTCTAGGAATTAATTACTTCCTAATTTAGAAGTCTCCCTCCTTTTCTCGGTGATGGTCATAGGCTTTAATCCACCTGAAAACTTCTTCCTTCTCTTCTTAGCATCTCCCACTAATACCCCTCTGTGGGCATGGGCAGCTTCTCCACCTTCTTTGGTCTCTTCTGCACCTGTCACCTAGGCCACCCAGCAAAGACTAATTCCAAGTTTGTTATTTAAAAGAATTATTATTTCAGGCTTATTACCTCATAAGCAAACTGACACCAGTGTGGGTTTTTCCTGGTCTTAGAGTTGAACAAAAAAACAGATGGCCTTCTCCAACGTCAGAGACATTCTTCAAAGAAATACCTTTATCTCCACAATAAGTTTTTTCTAAATCTTAACTGGTTTCACGGCTAGTGCTCATAACGGTGGTCATCCATCAAATGTCAAAATTATCTACCATATGATCGGTCATAAAATTGAGTTGTTTTAGCTAGCTGTCTGGTTCTTTTAGAAATTTTTACTTTCTGAGAAATAAAATCTTCAGTATTTCTCATGATAGTTTATCAGTTCATGCTATAATAATTTATCAGTCTCAAATAATGTCACAAAGGTTGTAGATTTCATAAAAGCTGTAGATAACCAGATGAGAGTAGTCAATGCGGCCAAACCCTTGATAATTCAGCTTTGTTAACTTACTGCATGTGAAGACTGATTACCAGTGGAGCAGGCTAATGATATCTCCTTAAGATCCATTGGCCATGAATGTGGTGTCAGCAGGTGCCATGGAGTGCATCAGAGCATGTAGAAATCCTGGTCATCTACTACAGCCTGGAAGTCTCAGGTTACATTCTTTGTACCAATGGATAGAGTGGGATTATCCCAGTGCAACAGTTTCCCTATTATAAATTCTTCCTGCACAGGTCTCTTTTGAAAATTCATCTAGATCTGCTGATCAATTGCAAGACAGTCTTCTTCAGGCCCAAAGGGCAACCCCCATTGATTTTCAGCACCCCTAGTTGATCATGTGACATGTTTTAATGCTGTGTATTAAAATACGCTACATTCAGACCCTCCTTAACTGTAAGGGTGTGTAACTTGCAGGTACATTTGAGCATTTCCAGCCTTAAAGGATTTTTTAAAAATATTATTAAATAAAAGGTATTAAAAAAAAAAACTTTGCTACAGTTGCAAAAAAATATATAAAAAGTTTGCATAGATTATAATGACTATAAAAAGACTAACAACTTACTCCATAATATAGTAAATCATCTAACTACTATACTGGGCCCTTCATGGCATTTCTCTGAGTAACAAAGGTTACTTGACATTGCCCATCTCCTCAACAAGTAACACAAGACTAATGATATGAAAAACTGAGTAATCCATGGCATGGCCTATTGGGAGAGTTGGATTCATGCCTTTCCTAAGGGCATTATTGTAAAGTGAGCACAAATGATCTTGGTCAGAATTTGCTGGCTGCAGTAATGTTAATTGTTAGGTGAACTCCACAACTCCAAATTGATTATATTATAAATTTACTAGAAAGACACATGAAAATTTCATGGTTTTCCTATTTGAATTTTCTAATGAATCTTAATTCTTACATTAATGATTGAATAAGCTCATGGTGAATTCTACAACAAAATATTGATAGAAATTCCCCTATCACATCATTAAATATTTGAGCTTAACTTTAACAAAATATTGCAGTAACAATCATAAATATGAATGCTGGTTATTATTTTAAGAAGTAAAGACGTATAACGAAAAGATTTGAAATTGACAGCTTTTCCATTTCACTGAAACAGACGTTAAACACATGACTGTTATCATCTCTTCTATCTTCTCTTCTTGATTTCATTTTCTCACTGAAACCATTTAATATCTCTGATATGTCTTTTCTGTTTTCCACTTGATCAAGACTGAATAGTTGATTATTTATGAAGTATTAGCAGGGTGTAACGTATGTACATGCTAACTAAGGAAGTGAGGGACAGACAAGCAGAATTATAATAAGATTATTATATTAACTATTATAATGATTATAGAGTACAATAAAAGAAAAAAAAAGACTCAATTATGGAATTCAAGCTTAGATTTTTAATGGATTTTAGTGAATCTTCATTTTATCTATCATAATGGTATACCAGAGGGCAAAATAAAAACAAACACATGATCAAAATAAATAGTGTTTGTAAGTTTGCATTTATTTTCTGCAAAATAGAATACTATTTAAACTGTTTACTTCAGACATTCTGATATTTTATTGAGAATTTATTAAATTTTATCGTAATAAGCATAAACTCTTGGCTATTTTTCAGCTGATTAATATCTTCTGAATAAATATTTCAAAATGAGAATATATCAAATTTACTATAGTATGAATTTTGAACACCTGCATTTTGTTTGAGCCAAGAAGGCCCTCTTTTTTTTTATCTAGATGAAGCAGGATAGGGAGCAGCTCTTTTTAAATAAGGCTTTTAATTATGAAATTTACTATCGAAAACAGTGCACTAGAAAATAAGAATTTAAGCTTAGCGAAAACACAGAAACTTCCACTAATATTGAAAAATATAAAATATTGAAAAAATCTTTAGCATATAAAGTAAATATGTATTATAAATAAAATGAAAGAAATCTTTCTTAAGGAGTATGAGCTAGCACATATTTTAATAAGGAGGAGCATGGAGAGGAGCCTACTCCTATTTTTAGATTCAGGCAGGAGCTAGAGTTACTCACAAATTAGTCAGAATAGTAAAACCCTGATTGAGACCCAAATAAAATTCACTGTACCAAAGATTCTAAGGGTCAAAAGTGTGTACCCAGTTTGAATTTTAAAGCAAAATCTTTCTCTGGGGGTCTATCATTTTCTATAGCAGGTTTACTAAGTTACCAATGACTAATGATTTTTAAAAGTTTTATGAGTGAAAGACTGTTAAATCTATAATTTGGTAAAACTTAAATCCTGAATTCAACTGACTGCATTATTTGCTAAGCTTTAGAAAAATGCATAAAAATAATTTTTTATCAAGGTAGTAGCAAATTTTTATCAACAAGGAATCCTGTAATTCTTGTAAAAAACCAATATTTCAAGTTTTTCACAAGACAAATCATCAAATGATCATAATCAACTTTATTTTATTGCTAATAAGTTTAGCATCTGTGGTTAGCAATACACCCCCAAAAATAATGCTAAATAGCATTTTTGTCCATTTCTAGCAGCCTATGACTATAAAACTACATAGACTGGAAATAAAATAAAAACAAAACTATTAGACTACGGAGCCACTGAATATCAACTTGGTATCTTCTAAGAATGCAAAGTAATGAAGTATCATGTTTGACAAATCATGCCATTTTGAAATGGCAAAAGTTGACAGCAAATTTCAGAAGGCCATAATTCCTGAACTAATAGCCTAAGAAAGGTAAAATTTTAGGGTTATTTCATTTCTCATAGGTGAATAATACATACTAACATTTAGATACCATATACTAAATCTGTGATAGTGCCCATGAGATCATTGGTTGAGTTGATATAGAATGATCCATATTTCTTATTACTATAATCATTATTTTTAGTGGGTACACATATTTGAGTTGTTATCCCTGCTTTTTATTTTCTTAAACAGTGAAATGAATAACAATTGGCCTAGATTAAGTCCTACTAAAGAAAGATTGTGGAATGTGACAAGAATCAAAACTGTATTTCCTTTTCTGTGTGTGTGTGTGTATATATATATATATATATATATATATATATACACACACACACACAGGGTGTCCAAAAAGTTTTGCTTGATTTTTATCTTATTGTATTAGTGCAGTTTGAACTTCGAGGCTTCAGGGACATGGCTTTTATACTGAATCAGAATCAAAAAATTGCTGCTGTCCAACATTACTATCAATGCAGCTCAACTGCAACTAAGACAAGTTGTTGCCTCAGTGAAAAAATTCATATTCATGCGGTTCAGGCCAGGAACTTCAAGTCACTCGTTAACAAGTTTGAAACAATGGGCTCTGTAAACAATGCACCCAGGTCTGGATGATCCACTACTGCAACATCTGATGAAAAAGGTTAGCAATTGAAAGCTTGTCTAATCGACAGTCTGCAGAAATCTGTTTGGAGCCTCTCATGGACTCAAAATCAGTTACTAGACCATACATAACTTGTTGCATAAAAGGAATTTAAAGCCCTACATTCCTTTCCTGTTCCATGCTCTGCACAATAGAGATACTGATCACAGACTTGAGTATTTGGAGATGTTCCTCGTTTTGATGCATGATAACGAAACTTTACAGAATAAGATATGGTGGTCAGATGAAGCGTGCTTTAAATTAAACAGCCACATTAACTGACATAATTGCTCGGATTGGAGTCATAAAAATCCACATATGGTTTTGGAGAAGGAAGTTAACCTCCCAGGAGTAACTGTTTGGGCTGAAATTTCAAGCAATGGGATTATCAACCCATTCTGCTTTGATGCTCATGTCACTAGAGAATGGGACCTCAACATGCTTCAAACCTACTTCTTTCCTCAAGTGCAACAACAAAAAGACATGTGCTTCTAACAGGATAGGACCCTGCCCCACTTTGCACATTGTGTGTGTGAATAGCTTGATATCAATTTTAATGCCAGATGAATTGGTCAGCATGGACTGATCAAATGGCCAACGTGTTCACCCGATTTAACTCCAATGTTTTTCTTCTTGTGGGGTTTTCTTAAAGACATGGTATACAAAGAGAAACTGTGAACTATTCCTGACCTTCATCAAGGCACTGTGCCAAAAGGTTTATTGCAGTGTTGCTTTGCGTTTGCTTTCTTGTATCGAACACATTAGAGAACAATTTGAACCATTACATCATTGGTTCATTCATAGTTATTATTCATCATTGTTCTGTACAATAAAATTAATTGAAAACTAACAATAGTTTTCAATATAAAAATCAGGCAAATCTTTTAGACACCATATATATATATATATATATATATATATATATATATATATATATATATATATATAATAAAAACAAATAGGAAACATATCAATTGGTCAGTCATGTATCATGTGCATTAAAACTGTAGATAATTCTATAAATTTGTAAAAATTCTACCAAGTGGGCATCAGATGGTAATTGTGTATGTGTGTTTGTAGAATTTTTAACAAACTTATATACATATAGAATTATCTACAGTTTAATGCACATGATCCATGGCTGACCCATAAGAATTGACACAAGCAAAAGTTCTGTCTTTTTGTCGGTTTCCTCTCAATCTCTGATGATGCTTTAATAAAAGTGAAACATGTTAGATTGATATACGTTTCCTATTTGTTCTTTATCTTATCATCCTATCAGATTCCAATCCATATTTGGTCTTTAATTCATGTATAATTAATTATTAATTTTACATACATACATACATATATATATATATATATATATATATATATATATATAAGGAAGAGGTTATAGTTGTTCCAACAAGAGAAAAGTGTATATATTAAAAAGAAGAGAGAAACAGCAAACATTTTTGGTTGTAATGTGGATTTTTAAAAAAAATATATTATACTTTAAAAATTCACATTACAACCGAAACGTTTGCAGTTTCTCTCTTCTTTTTAATATAATATATATATAATATATATATTATATATATTAAAATCTCAATAAACTGATTAAAATTTAGCTGTAAAATGCTTCCAAAACATTGAATTTACTATCTGAATATGCTATACTAATAGATTCATTTATTGTTCCAATTATGTGGGAAAACTCAATAAGGCTCAAAGAGAAGCTTTCTGTATGTTTAAAAATGCCCCCCACAATATTTAGAAATAAATAACATTAATTATTTTTTACACATTTTTAAGGTTGGTAGAAAAAAACAAGCAAGTAAAAGATTAATATTTTTCTTTCTTGAATGTTTTGAAAATTAAGGTCAGTGGCATATAACTTACAAATGGATAAACTTTTATAATCATTTTGGCACAAATATTTATTTTCTCTATCATTAAAATTATTTCATGTTCTATTCTTAAATTGCAAAAACACACCAAAGAATTTCCACAGATCTTGATAATGACAATAAAGAGCAAGAGGAATAATCTCTACTTGATATTTGAATTCTTCCAAAGAACAAATTTTTGATGTTGAGACCCTATACACTTTTGCATTGTTGTTGTTTCCAGGTATTGTCCTTTTTTAACAGTCATTGCCTCTGACTCTACCCCTTTTAAGGTAGTGGTGAATTTCTGCATGGGATGTAGGTCCCCAAGAAACACGTTTTAAATTTGTTTTGCCAGAAAAAATGCTTAGAAAAATAATGCTGTTCTCTTTGGGTTTAAAATGTTTATATGTTAATGAAGCTTTTAACAACAAATCTCTAGCTTGGTGCTAAGAAAGAACACTGAAGTGTTTGCTTTCGAATGATCAATTAGTAAAATGAATTTAATTGCCATTGAGTGTGATATTGGCCTTTTGCCAGACTAAGCTTTCTAAATATTCTACACAACAGATATTTTGATGAAAGCCTTACCTATGGTTGTCATGATTTTACGAGTGGTATTAATTTTCACTCCTCTGTGTATCATACAATCAGCAATGACCCCACCAAGGCATGAAGTGATTGCTCCTGCCAAATACGGCAAAGACGAGTAAATGCCATTCTGCAAAGAAATTAGTGAGACAGAAAATTATCAATAATTTGATAATTAAAAAAACAAAATTAATGAATTGTATTATAGCTTGAAGAATCTAAGATATTGAAATTAACTGTTTAAAAAAACAGGTGGTATAATTCCTCTTAAATGGCCAACTTTTTTCTCAGATATGCAGGATTCATTGCATTCACTTATACATAAATAACCTTGGGAAAGGCATGAATCCATCTTATCCTCCAGTTACGGATTAAATAGTAGGAATTGTACCTGGATTGTTTTTCCCAAAAAATTGTTAATGCAATATTCATTCACAAAAAATAAAAGAATTATTCTAATCCAAAATGTGTTTTGGCTTTAAATAACATACAAAGGGTTATAAACTGTAAAAAAACAAACCAATCAGCTTTTTTAGCAACTCTCATCAAAGAGGATCATTGATAAATTTTAAATGACAAAACAGAATTGCAATTATAATGATTGAAAATTACTGATTTTAATGGTGATTCTTTTTGTGGTTTAACATTTTAAAATATATCAACAATCCTCTTTGTTGGGATCTGATCAAAAAGCTGGCTACTAAAGAAGAATTATACTATGTGTTTCATTTTGCATTATATGCATGTACAGGATTGGCCAGACCTTGTTTTATGTAATAGTATGCAAAAGTTTAATAAATGAAATAAAAATATCTCTTAAATCTCTTGAAAAGTATCATCTACTTATCATCTCTTTAACAACTCATAAACATTATCACTAGCATTCTTAAGGACTGTTCAATCAGCTATGTTTCTGACACCAGATGTTTGGATAAGCAATACCAGTACCAAAATGAAGGACAATGTACTCCCTGACCAGTTACAGACCTCAAAATGAACCCAGGAAAAATAGGGCCTCAAGGTCAGTCTTCTCTATCCTTTTACCAGAACGCAGAGCAAGCCGATCCAATCCACTCTATTCCACTAAAGAACTAATTACTGCCTACTACAAAGGAGGAGGTGGTCTGTCTATGTTCCAACTTATGTGAGTAGGCAGTAATTAGTTCTTTAGTGGGCAATAGATATCAAGGCCAAGTCAAATATGATGAGTGACTACTGCTGGTTCCTATGAAAGATCAGCTCATCGCACAAAGGTAAGAGTCAAATATTTCTGAAGATATCAGAAATACAGTGAGTATTTTATATTTATTCATTTATTTCCCAGCATCATCTAAGTTTTCTTTGAACATCAGCATGCTATTTATTAATATTTGCCTTAAACTTAAATGTACTATATACAGTACTGATATACCATTAATATGATGTTTACCCTGATCAAAATTGTTCAAATTGGGAGGAGGGGGAGATTAATTCTGAGTAATGATTTAGAATCAAAATGCATTAGTCTCATATAGTATCGTTTGTCTGGGTAACAGACAAAAATAAATTTCTTTTTGTTGTCCAGTGTAGATTGGGACTGACAAAAAATTTACTTTTCATTACTTCACTTAAAACGTACTTGTTGAGACTGAGTGACATAGACACCTTATCATGAGATTGGAACAAATAATATCTTTAGGAGAATAAGTCAATGGATATGACTGAAGTGAGAGACAGGACATATTTTTTTTTTCCTCTACTCATAGATATTAATGAGTCTGTCCTACAAAATATGCATATTTAAAAATCTGTAGCTTCAAGTCCAGTACTTTGAACTGTACACTTACCAAACTGCAACTGAAGATTAACAATGTTACTCATTGATCAGTTCATGGTGGTTTCAGAGTATGATGTTGGCCGTTTTGAGGTTTATAGTGAAAAATAAATTGCATAAAGCAATAAACTCTCGTTCTTTTTTCATAATTTTTATATTAGTAGGCATAATATTTTTCATATAAGACTGAAAGGATTTTTTTTTAGTTTTGGTTCATTACAAATTTTCCTTATGTCAAGAGACTTGTATTAATGTCTCTTATTGACTAAAAGTCAGGCTCTTAATCTTAGATATTGCAATACCTGTAATAAAGTTATAATGAAGAAAATATTCTTACATCATTCATATCCAGACCCAAAATGACATTCATGTAGGTTGGCATAAATGTAAGCTGGACATAATACAACCAACTGTTACAGAACATCAATATACACAGTGACCAAATTGACACAGATTTGAGAATTGAAGCCCAAGGAACCTTTATATCCTGGAAAAGGAAAACAAACAAAAAATGCATTGTTGAAAGAAATTTAAATTTCCTAAGCAAATATTTCATCAAAAGTCTTTTAAAATCTTGATAACACAACAAGGGGGTGCAGAAAAGTTCTCAGCCCAACCAAATGAAACCTTATCCTACATAATCATGTTACAATTAAAAGCACTTAGCACATAGTTTCTCAAGTTAATTTAACTCTTCAAAAGAGATTCTGATGCTTGATCATTGAAGATACTATTCTGCTATCATATCTAAATCACTGAATATTTCCCCCCTCTTCAAGATTCTTTTTGAGGCTTGAAAACAGGAAATAGATGAAGCAAAATTTGGGGAATACAGTGAATGGTCATTGGTCCTCAAACTCCAAATTCTTCAAAATATATATCATTTTGCCATTCCCATAATCAGGTAAATTTTTCTGCTAAAAGGAACACCTTTCTGCAGTTTCCCTTGCTGTTTTTCTTTCAACACATCCATTAATTAATATAGCAAGTTAGAAGTTCTCTATTAACTTTTTGCCTCTTCTGAAGATAGTCATCAAAATGAATGTTGCTGCTGCATGCACTGCTGTTTGGTCTCCAGATCATAGTAGTATAACCAGGTTTCATCAAAAGTGACAAGTTAGAATAAATTTCACAATATTGCTGAAAATGTTACTAAATCAACTTGGAAGTATTGCTCAATATCACTTCTGGTCAGTATTCAAACATTTACACACCCATTTGACTGATAGCTTTTGCATATCCAACTGCTCATGAATTATAAACCCATGACATTACTGTGATATCTTTAATGTCTCAGCAGTTCTTTTGGATGAAATGTCTTGATCAGTCAAAATTAGGCCATGAACATGATCAAATTTCAGATTTAAAGCCTCTCAAACTGAGCTGCATCTTGGGTCTCAAAATATCCATGCTTAAAGTTGGCACACACCTTTCTTCACAGCTGAGTAGGATAAGCACTTGTCTTATAATGTTTGCATCATGCACATAGATTTTCCTTTTGAAGTTTTCTTCTCCCACAAACTGGGACATCATGATGGTCCAGAGTTCAATACTTGAAAATTCCACACCATTCATTGGCATGATTCAGCCAACAATCTGGAACAAATTCCAAAATAAGCAAATTGACACTATAAAGGGACACTGACAAAATAATATATTCTGGGAACTGGGTTGAGCAGAGAAATCTTTTGTGCTAGTCTTATATTTATAATGACATCTATTAAAGAAAAAATGTCTGCATGCATTTGTCTATGTATAGATGGATATGAACAGATGAATAAATTGTCTGCCTCATTCTGTTTGGTTTTACAAGACCATTTTATGGAATGTATAAAACCTTTTAATATGTATTGCATATTCCATTCTTGGACCAATTATGGTCTAGGCTTCTGTAAATACAATGGCTTGCATTGTATAAGGGACAGAGTGGTGTTTAAAGAATAACTTGGAAGAATTATAGTGATTTACCAAGTGCAGCTTAGATGTGGCACAAGGCTGAAAGAAGGGGGCACCCAGTGAGGATCGAACTCATTACTCAGTTGTAATTGTTCTAGTGAGATAAGCTTGCTAACCATTACACCACCTCAAGGTGCCCAACTTGGAAGAATTATATCGTAGGAAATTTGGTATATTTATATTAGGCTGAGTCATAAGTAATTTTCATTTTTGGAACCAATTGCAATGACAAATGCATCATGAATACTAATCATATACAATGATTAAGAATGAATTTGGAATATACTAACATACCTAAGTTTTTGCACAACATTGGCAGCCTATACAGTAGATTAAAAAAAATGTTGTTTATCTCCATATCCAGAAGCAAGAATAACACAGGAAAATATTTTTGAACTCGGTCTACTCAACCTGTCATATTCACCTGACCTTGCGCCAACTGATTATTACCTATTTTCTTCACTTCAAAATGCTTTGATGGGGAAAACTTTCTCTAAAGAAAACCAGATTCAAGAGTTTATCAAAAACTTTTCACATCAAAACCTGCAGAACTTTACTCAAAAGGTGTCAAAGCGCTGTCTGATAAGTGGCAACAAGTTATTGAATAAAATGTAATTGTACTTTATTATTTTGATGAATGAAGTTGATAAAAAAAAAAAATGGAAATTATTTATGACTCAACCTAATAATTAGTGTTGACATGTCAAATAAATGTATTGTAAATATTAATTTCTAAAATTGATGACAATCTGATTTTCTGGCAAATAAAGAGAAGAGAAATGACTTTTTTGTTTTATTTTAATCATCATATCAAAACTCTCTTCATACTTTGTTAAGCATCAAAGCATAGTGACTATTCGTTTTAGCTTAATGATCTGGAAGGTTTAAAATGCTTAAATAAAATAATGACCTATTTTCCATAAAGTATCTGTTTCTCGCTTGGCTTAGTCTAGCACAGTTTGTGTAAATGCATAATTTTATGCTAACATGATACTTTTCTTTTTATTTATTGAGTTTTAATTTAAAAAAAAACTTTGAAAACAGACATGTTAAAACTAAGAAAAAAAACAAATGGAAGGAGTAACAAAAAAATAATTTACATTGTCATAAAGTGGTGATATCAAAATACAAAAACATAAAATAAAACACCTTAAAAAAAGATTTATCAGTCCCTTCTCATCCATTGAGAATGAGAAATGTGCACAGTAATTAAAATAAACACCAAAGAACAGAGGTTATTTAACAAACATAACAAAAGCTAATTACATTTAAGCTTAACAACCACCTGGAGTGGTAGCACATGTTAGGGTCCCAGCTATGGGCAAATAGTGAACCCCCAAACAAAAACAAAACATGAAAATATAAGAATACATTTTTATATATATAAAAAAAAAAGACCAACAATACCTATTTACAGTAAAAATACCAACAATATATGTTTATAGTGTATATTTAGTTGACGCCATAAAAATGTGTTCAAAATAATTAAATTTCGGCATTAAATAACCCAAACAAAATCAACCAACCAACCTAACAACCACTCCTCCTACTTATCAGAGAGATGGCTAGTAGGATTTAATATAAATAGATTCCAATACCTCCAAATGCAATTTCAAGTTAGCCTTCCTCAGTACCCAGAACATATCTTGGCTATAAGACTGGACACATTGAAGGTTTGTTTTTTTTTAATAAATCTTCAGCTATCATTGAACCAGTTGTACTTGCATACATATGCAAATATTGGCTAGTACATGCTGATTGATCCTTGCTTTCTACCTTTGTCCGAAATATCAATATTACCACTTTACAGTAATGGAATTTTTTTTCTTCTTGTTTTAATATGTCCATTTTTATCACTATTATTATTGAGTTTTGTTATTTTATATTAACATATTGGTGACTTATTTTGGTATAAAGCGAAAAATTATAAATTACTTTAGCTTAAATATAAAAATTCCATAACTATTTTTATATAATAAAATAAAAATGGCTCCTTGAAATTATAGTTTACTAAAAATCTAGTCAGGTTAAGGGACAAACACAAAAACCAAAGTGCAGACATAGTGTATGTATCTTAGAGGTTAATACAGGTACCTTACCACAGACAGATATCACTGGAAAAATGGGGGGGATGCACACAAAATACATTGTGTAGGTTTAATCATCTCGAGTAATGGTAAGATTACACCAGAAAAGAATCATCTCATCATTGAAAGATTGTGAGAGAAGAGACATTACCTTTTTATTTGCAGTGGCTGAAGTTAATGAAGCTTCTATATAATTTAACTCCTTTCTTGATATTCTTGGGTGCTCAGCTGGAAAATTATACACTGACATCATCCAGAAAATAAACCACACACAAGTAGCAGCACCTATTAAGAGAAAAATTCACATTGATACACATACATACAGATGCCAAAATTTCCTGAATGTAACCATCTTGAATATAATACACATATGAAAAGTATCACTTTTGCCCCATTCTTATTTCCTAGTGCAAAATATATTTCAACATTATAAGGAAACATCAATTTAAACACCAAAATTAAAGAATATGTCCACATGTGTGTCATGGATTTCATAATAAATGATTGCTTTTTCAAAATTTAAGTCTCATAAATATAACATTATAACAAAAATCTTAATTTTCCTTTTTTTTTTTTTTTTGAAAGACCAAACTGGCTATACAAGAGATGAATTTTTAATGTATTTGCTAACCTATGAGATGTATGCTTTATAATGGAATTTTTGGATTACATCTCATCACAACTTATTACCAACAACTGTGCAAATTGAGCTTTTGATAATTGGCCATGTATCTATAATACCAGTGCACTGAATGCAGTGCAGTATTTGTAACATTTCTTTTTTGAAAACATGCCTGATAAATAAGGTAATTTTTTTTTAAGTTTTATTTAAGTTTTATTTAATCACAGGCTGTTTATGCAACTTGTGATATCACAGGCAGAATTTATTTTAAAAAATACTTCAAAACTTTCATTCCCTTAAAGGATAACGACTCAGTGAAATTCTAGTATCAGAAAATATGAAACAATAATCAGTGCTGCATTCAAACTCGGGTAAAGTTTCAACCAATTTTCTCATTAATTAACCACTCCCTTGGTATTTTGTTATACCATGATTATCTAAAGCATGAAGGCATGCAAACCTAGGCTGGCTTTAGGTGTCATAAGCTCTGGTTAGAAATACTACCTATAAGCTGACCATTGTAATGATAGTTATAGCTACTAATAAAATAACAAAGGAGAGGGCTTGTGTCAATCATTCTGTATTCATTTATTATCTCTGACTAATAAAATAATAGAATTTCTATAGCATCACTAATTTGAAGTGGAGTTCATTAGAACAAGTTTATCATATTAACCCTTCATCTACCAAGAAAACTGATTTCCATTATATGCCACCTGGGTCCAATGGACCCATTTCTATTTTTTTTTTTTTTTTTTTTTAAACTATTCAAACTGTTTACATTTTTTTATATTAGGTATGTATAATTATAGATGAACAAAGAAATAATTTTAATCAAAATTTATTCACTGAAACAAAAATAACAATACATCTTTGCATTTAATTTGAAATTATAAACTTAATTCAAATTACATTTTTTTTAAAAATTAACAATTGCTGCATTTTGTACAGAGTACTTTCAAATGGATTTGACAAATATGACAGTTTGAATTTTCTATACATTTTAGGACCACACAAGGTGCATCTTTTTTTTTTTTTCTTTCTCTCATTGGATGGTTCTTGGGCAGTTTATTGATCACTAGATTTTGTAGTTATATCAATATCTATGAGATCTGAATTCCTTCAATATTTGTTCATTTCCAGGAGATTTAGCTTCATGACCAATATAAATGAAAGAGCTGAATCACAAGTTCTTCTTGCAAAATGCGAAGGTCGAGGCTCTTGATGTAAAACATTGTAGGATGAAGTTTTTCATTGTGCCTTTTCAATTGGTTTAGAAAACCAAATTTCTGACTTATCCTTTGAATAATACTTTTCATTCATTATTTAAGAATCTTTTATCAGCTTTGTTGTCATCATTCATATCATCATCTGATTTTGAAATGTGCTAATACTCTTGGGAAAGGTATGACTCCTCTTCTTCTCCCCTTAGCTATGGGTAAATAGCAGGATAGACCGGATTCTATAGCCCTGGATTCTAACTGATCTATCACAGAAAGAAATGGCAACATACTGTGGGGGGAAAAAATCTGCTTTGTCAGTCATGTATCGATAGCATGTATCACGCATAGCACATAACTGAATGCTAACATTTTCACTTTCATTATCATCTTCAGAAAAAGAAATGGCACCTATTTAGAATGGACAATATTTTTTATTTAATTAAAAATTTCAACCATGAGTCCAATGTACCCACTTGGTAATAGGAAGAGATGTCACTTACCAAGTTCTATATTTATTTCCTTTATGTAGATGATAGAAAATGAATAAAAAATAAAAGTAAATTCCAATAGAATAACTATAAGGGTGAAAAAATTAGTTTAAAAAAAATATTATGGGTCCATTGGACCCATTGATAGACTGAAGGTTAAGGAAACACCAAAAGGAGACAGCTCGATTAATTTTGGTCTTCTTCTTTTATGGGCTATGTCTCTTCAGAACTTCTTATCCATTATTACCCTCAGTGATATTTGTCTTTTTACTATCCTTCCTACTCTCTGTTCTGCCATCCATTTATAAAAACTTGTTAGGTAGGTTACTTTTTTCTTTGCCCCTCTTGCCTTCAATGTCTTGTGAGTATCAAATTCTTCAATCTCTCTTTCCTCATTAAGTGTCCCAGAAATTTCAACTGTCCCTTTCTGATTCTAAGTACAAGTGCCCTTTTTGTTCGCTTTAAAACTTCATTCTCCCAGATTCTGTCCATGATATCCTCAGCATCCTTCCATAAAACTGCATCTCTATTGCTTTAATACTCTTCATATGTGTGGAAATTGTCCAGCATTCACTGCCATATTGGAGGATTGATATTACATAGCATTTCAGGTCTTTTCTTTGTTTCTAAAAAAATACTTTCTTCAACATCTGGAAAGCAACTTTTTGCAATTCCAATGCACCTTCAGATTTTGGTCATATTTTTCATCATCAGTTAAAACACTTCCCAGATAGTTAAATTTTTGTACTTGCTGGATTTTGATGTTTCTAATTCATAGCTCACATTAAGCTGTTCCTATCTAATAATAATTTGAAGCTAACTCAGATGTCTTTGTACAAGTCAAATTCAACCTGTAACATTGTATTAAAAAAACCCTCACATGGCTGTGTGTGTTTATATATATATATATATATATTTTTTCACCCAAAGCAAAATTGTTCCTGTTGTTACAATACCCAACTTATTATTTCTTTTGCATTTTCCTATATCCTAAAACTTGGTGGTTGGGGGGCCAATCCAATTTTTCTTGAACTGTTTCATATACCTAACTACTTGTTGACACATTTTGACACATGACATTTGTGGTATAATTGTTTGTACTAAATATTTCTAGTGAGATGAAAAAAATGATGGTTAAATACTGAATACTACCATTTTTAATGTAAAATTTGAGCAATACAATCTGTATATTGTGCAATGAAAATTAGGATTATCAATGTTCAAGAATTAATACACGTTACCAGCAGAATATGGTGTAATGTAATGATAGAAATAACTACATTATCTCTTTTTGTTAAACTTCTGTTTATACAAACAGAAAAAAAAGCTCATCAGCCAAACAAAATCACCAGAAAACAAAGAAAAAACAAATAGAGATAGAAGAAGAAAACATTTGTTTATTGACATGTCAGATCTCAAGACTGTAGTGAATAATTTTTATTCAGTCACAAAACTTAGTTCATTGTAAAACAGTTGTATTCACATACCAAATATATAAAAAGCAGTGCGCCAACCACCCAGGTAATCATGTTCACTGAATAAGGCTGTTAGGTAGGTTGAAGCAATGACCCCGCTTGAACCACCTGAAAAGAGAAAAAAACATTTCAAATAAACAAAACTCTAATTTGTGTAATCATATCTTATAATGAGTAACTCGGTCAAAGTTATTATCATCATCAACATCAGACCCTTGACTGCTTCAATCGTCAGTGGAAGGGGCCTGAGAGCAGAAGAAACAGAATTTGATTCTTCTTTCGCATGATCCTTTCAGATAGCTTGGTGGCGCCCATCACCTCTCCAAGCTCTTGACTGACAGCTGAAAACTATGGAATATGATGTAAGTCATCCTCGGTCCATATACTAAGCCTCAGATTTTGAATTCAGAGTTGTCCTTCTAGGCTGGTTGCCACCCAAGGCTAGAGGACCCAGTCTGTCCTGCTATTTACCCATAGCTGGGAGTGGGGAGAACAGTTACATTCATACCTTTCCAAAGAATATTAGCACATAAGTATAAGTAAATGTAATGAACTCAACTGGAATTCAAACTTTGCCAAAGTTAGCAATGGGTATAACAGCTTTTTACTGTTACAGATTGATAAGATAGTTATGATAGAGACAGTGGTATAGGGTGTGTTTTAAACTATTGTACCTCCTCCTTAGCTAATTCTAGTTTCATACATATTTCCTCAACCTAATTAATTTTTTACACCCTTAAATATTAATGCCTGGGGCAATCACCTCTCTGGCTACATCCATGCTACACCACTGGATAGAGAGATTTGCCCAAGTGTTTATTCCCTCATTCTCTTCACAGTCACTCACCATGCTATAGCGGTGATGAAATATTTTTTTGTCAATAGATCTGGTGATGAGTATTCATGTTTCCTATGAGCATTAATATTAAATGATGGCAAGCAGACTCAGCATAAATTCAAACCTTCTTTGACTACAATACACCTATAAATCTTGCTCTGATTTGATTAGTAAAGTTAAGCAACATTCTTGATATCATTGCTGAGTGAGTAACTGGAACCCAAGTAAAAGTTAATAATTTTTTTGTTGTTCAAGTAGAAAGAATTAGAGTAATGTTAAGCAAGCTTCAGTTATGATAATCTAATATATTTAAATAGAATATAAAGTAACTCCACTGTGTGTATAATATGTACACATCAACTACCCTTGTAATATTTTGAACTTGCCAAGTGGGTATAGTGTCCATTTTCACAAATAACAGTTACCAACTAACTGATGATAGTGTGAAAATACATGAAACTTAGTTTTGGTTGTCCAATGTTTACTGGGAATTTATTTAGAAATATATACACAGTTAACTCTTCAAAAAGTCCTGACATATTATTATAGCATTATATGCAAAATAGTGAAACTTTGATATTACCTTTGCTTTACGGTGAGTGTACAATCCAAAGAATAATTTTATTTTCTCGTTAGATCATTAAGGTGTCATCATCAACTAACCAAGCCAGTGGGTCAGGTATGTTTTTTTATCCATTTTTTTTTTTTTTACTATTAAATGTTCACTCAATAAAAGGACCAAGAGAGATTCAAGGTAGAGGTGTTTGATTGATTGATTTGTTTTCTATGGCTTATCAACCCTTTGCAGATTATTTAAAGCCAGAGAATATTTTTAGAATGTAAGAATATTTTTGAGATAATGTTTTAGTGATACAAGCCTTACTAATTAACTCATAGCTGGCGGGTAGAAGAAGTGGAGTGAGACCTTTCTCAGGGATATTTGCATGTAAGTGAATATAACAAACCCAACAGGAATTGGAACTCAGCTCTCTGATTAACAATTCTGAACCATTATCTCTTGCACCACCCACACATCCAAGCTTACAGCATCTGGTATTCCCAAGCAGACACCCATCAAGGTATTGATCAGCTTTGATGTTGCTTAACCTCGGTGATCATACAGGAGCCAGTGTTTCAATGTGATGTAGCTGTAAGCCCCAAGGTAGATGGTTACTGAATGATGTTGTTGTATGGAAAAAGTGCAAATTTTGAGGATATGTAGAATAGATAATGGTTGACATTAGACTTCAAGAGTTTAAGATTGTAGTGATCAGGGAAGCATCCTCTTGGGAGTCTGTTCCACAAAGTGACAGTTCTTAAAAATTGTTTTACCTGTGCTGATGACAGTAGAGAATTTACTTCTTTCATCAAGAGGAACCCATTTTCCTATTAATGACATCAAACCTGGATATACACTTCCCTGGAATAAAGAATAAAATACAATTCAAGATACAACTTTTTAGAAATGTCAAAGCATTTAAAAATAGTTCAAACAAATTTTAATAAGACGTAACATGAGAAATGATATTGACAATTCTATCTGTTATATATAAAACTCAGAATTTATGCATCTGCTCAAAATCTCAATAATAATTTATTTTTATATATATATATATATATATATATATAAAAGTGGATTGTCAGTCTGTATAAAAATTACATAATACTGTGAAATCTAATAAATGTATCAGCATGTGCCATATATCTGGCCCAACTTAGTAGTTATTGCATAATGGAGGTAAATAATTTGCATTTTAATCTTTAAAAATCAAATTTTTAAAAATAACTGTCTTTCTTGTTATTTATTCCTTGTCTAGTGTTGAGATCTTTATACATATGCAATTTTTTGTTGATGACTTTTATAATTAAATTGCTCAGTTATTCAAATCTATTTTCTGCTCTGAAAGTGGTAACCACTTCAGCATTTACATCACAGCTTGGGAAAAAGTGAGGTAAGTCATATAAACATTTTGAGAACTTAAGAAATATGCTAAATTATAATGTAAACATGCCATATGTGAAATAAGCAACTACAAAAATATCTAAACTTATAAAATTAATTACAATAATTTCATCAACATCATTTCGCAACATATACAAATCTCTTAAAATAATGACTATGCAGCACTAAAGAGCAAAGAAAAGGAACTTGGTCAACAAAATGCTGGGTAGTAGTGTTAGTATAGAATACTAGAGAAACTAATCCCTTAAATGTAAGTTATTTTTAGCAGCTTAGTCTTTTAAACTATTGATAGTGAATTTGGTCTTCACTAGGGGACCCACTATGGTGGCTATGTAACAAAGAAAGTTAAAATTAGTATCTATTATACTGGACAAATTTCACATAAGATATTACTTAGTTATATATTTCTTCTGTTAAATGTTATCATGGTAAGTATAGAAAAATAGTTTATAAAGCTATTTTCTACACTTTTTAAAAACAACCACAATGCAACATTTTGTAACATAGCAAATACAATAAAACGGTTATATAATGCCAAACCAGTTCATTTTTTTAAAGGATTTTCCTAATCTTGAATGATATATCTGAAGTTCTAGTATTGGCATATCATGTCATATAATGGTTATATAGAGCCAAACACATTAAAGGAAACAAAAACTAGTGCCCAATGTTTTTAAAAATAGATCTTCAATTTTCAATCATATAACCAAGGTGTTGATTATAGCTTCATGGGTCCGTCACTATTTTTTACCCCTTTCTTTGTGTGCTTGATATTAACACAATGCTTTATCTGATCTATTCTCTATCTGTTAAGAATGGAAAAACATTTTTCCTAGAAATTTTTTTTCTTACAGCATATACTCCTGAGAAGAGCTGAAAAATAGATCAGATGAAGCATTAGATTAACAACATTAAGAAATAGAAAAGGGGTTCAGTTGTTGCCCCCCAAACAAAAAAATTTGGAATGTTAATGACACTTCTCAAAGAAGGAAAAGAATAACTTCTCAAAATCTAATAATAGGGATTAAAGTGGTCAATTAAAACAGGAAAGAATAATAAAAATGAAGTAGGAAAAAAGCTTACATTACCATAAAGTTGCAATATTGAAATACAAAAACCAGAAAAGACATCTTAACCAGTTTATTGATTTTCACTTATCAGTGTGCAATCAAGAAGAAGAAATGAATGTTACACTAATGTTTGAAATGATAAATTACAGAATTAATACAGTGGGAAGGTAAAACAGGTCAGAGATTGAAAGCAAGGATTAATCAACATGTACCAGCCAATATTTAAAAACACAATTTTTATTAAGCATTTATCAATCTTCCCTGTCCTACTGCCAAAGTATGTTCTCAGTACTGAGGAAGGCTCACTCTAATTTTTACCTTAAGTTTTTAGAGTCAATTTATTTTAAGTTCTACCAGCCATTCCTCTGTAAGCAGAAGGAGCAACTGTTTAACATAATGTGCTTTTGATATTTATATATTTATTATATAACATTGTCATTGATTGTTTTTTCATTAGTTGCAATGGATATTTCTTTCTCTTAATCTAGCTCTGATGAGAGAGGATCATTAAACCGGTTAAGGTGTTTTTGTTGTTTTGTACATTTCAATATTACCATTTTATGGTATTGTAAACCGTTTTTGTTATTCTTTCTTGTTTTAATATATCCATTTTAATCACTATTATTAAATCTTGTATCCCTTTTAAAATATTTAAAGTTTCATAATCATTATTTCCTTTTAAATTTCTAAGTTCTCTTTCAGATTTTTGTCATCTCTTATTAGTATGTGGGTCAGATAGAAGAATATTTACTAACTTACATTTCTGTCAAGACATGAAAAAAAAAAGAAATAGGCAAAAAGGACATTATACATAACCTGAGTCACACCCATGAGACCACGAACAATAACAGTCAAAACAAAACTGTATTCTGCAGCAGCTGGAGTTACAATGCTCAAAATGCCACAAACAAGAAGTCCAAAGCCAACAGTCTTCTTGCCACCAAATCTTTGGACAATAATACCCCAAGGAATTTGAGAACAGAAGTAACCAGCAAAGAAAGCAGCCAAAACCACTCCTTGTTGGCGGGGTGTCCAGTCAATGTCCCCAGTGATCTAAAAACAAAAAGGCACAAATAAGAAAATAAAATATTACAAGATATTAAAAATTAACTCATAAATTATTTAAAACCTTTAATACTCTGTAAGTGATTTAGTTTATCAAGTGAAATGTTTATCTTGCCACTGCGGGCAACTCTGTATAATGATAGTGTGTTTTGATTTCATAGTTGTCATTTCCTGTTATGGCCTTGATTGAAATTGACAGTTGCAGTTGAATGACTTTGAAAAAGAATGTAGTGGAAGGCAAAGTAATATTCATAAATAACAAAAATCTAAAAACATTGTCAGTCAGTCAGTGTGTGCAGTCTTAACTAAGATTGCACACAAATTCCTAGCACTGTCTTCTGCACAATGCTAGAAAAATCATAGAAGTGTCTGACATTTACTCAGCTTTTTAGCACTTATGCAATCATGTCCACTGTAATATTCTGTTTATAAACTTTAAGAAAAATTCAGAAGCTAGAAAATGTGTTTGGCACAAACTTACAAAAATAAGGATCAGACACTGTTTAAATAATTTTCCTTTTCTTCTTGCTCAATATTTTGGAACTAGAGAGTGCTATGTTTGTGTATAGGATCCAAAGTGAATTTTTTATGATGAATTGTTGGAATCTAGTCAGATTGTTAGTGGACAATCTTACATCATTGCTTGAATGAAACACTGGAAGAGAAAATACTTTTTTTTTTTTTTTTTTTTTTTTTTTTTTTGCACAATGGAACAATCATTGAACTGGAATCAAGTTCTTCCATACATGGATTTAACCAATGTCTGTATATGGACTCAAACATAAACCTGAGATTTCTGTATGGTCTCAAGCATAAATCCAATCAATATGATTGGATTTAAGCTTGAGAGACCAATTTTCCATTTCAAATTTCCCTAATTCTGTTTTGGGTTTTAGTGAATTCCATTTTTTCCTTGCTTTCAGTATAGATTTCTTTTGCTTCATTATAATACTTAGTGTAAAAAATGTTATTAAAACAAAAATAAAAGGAAAATAAAAAATTTTACTAGCTGGAATATCCACCCAATGGATAAAGTTGCTCCAGCTTGATAGGCTTTCATACCTCATATTTCAGTCCTTAATCTAACTTGATGAGTTTCTGGGACAACCCTTGCAAAGAATTCTACAATCCTAGATAAAGAATTAAATGAAAGTGTCAAAACCTACATAAAAGTAGCACCACAAAGTCATCTAAAGACAAAAAGCTACATTATCGTTTGATCACTTTATTGAAATTATTAAATAACATTGTTGAAAAAAGTCTAATTCATAAAATTTGGCTTTCTGAAATGACTAACTGCCCTCACCTCCTTCACCATGTGTGATAAGAAAAATAAAGGATAAAACAAAAAGACAAACCATTTTTTAAAAAATCAAAGTCAAGCCAACTTCGTAAAACTTGGTTCCTGAATACTGTAAACTGCAAGGGGACGGTAGGTAAGGGGGATGTATTAAAACATTACTGGCATTATCCTTTGATGTCTGTCAGACGAGTGAGTTAGGAAAAGCAAACAGTAACATAAAAATGGCAGTTAGCAAAATTGTTATAAAAAAAAATTTCCATTTCAAAATTGCGATTTCCATTTCAAGTAGTGACCAGATGATATGACTCTTGCCACATGCCACCTATACCAGCAGGTAACTTGGTCCTCAGGGTCATAGAATGATGAATTGATTGCTGGGTCAATCCCACGCTGGTTGATAATGTCACTGGTCAATGGGTTGTTAGTTGCTGGCCACCTTGTCCACACTTTGCTCTACCCATGTTGTGTTTCTTGATCACAGAGCTGGTGGAGATCAAGTATCATCAGTAATCATAGCATTGGTTCAAAACATGGTGAAGCTGTGTTATGAAGGAAAACATAGAAATGTTTTGGCAGACAAAATAAAAACAAAAGATTCCTCAGGTTAATTTTCGATTTGGTTTATGTAGTTCTTTGTATAACAAAATTAACCCTTCCAACTAAAATCTCTATAGTGACACTTTGCCTATTAGGGCTAATTCTTGGTACAGGGTTCAAAGTTGGGGGTTCTCTTGGCAGCAAGTCATGTGGATTTCAGCAGCACCTTTGTTCTTTGCTGCTTGTCTGTTTGTCTCCTTGCATTTGCCAAAGCGCCCTGCTTATATTGACTTTGACTCAAGACTGGAGTGGGGGTTGACGGTATTTTGGAATCTGGTGATTCCCCAAATTTCTATATTGATTTGAACAAGAGTTCTTTGTTGTCTTGTTCACAATACTAATTATCTTTCCAAATTTGGGAGAGCCATTCACCCTAATGGTGATGGTTGCAGGTCTCAGCTCACCATTAAAATTCATTCCTTTTCTTATTTATGCTTCACACTATTACTTTCAAATGAATGGAGGTAATTTCTCCTTCCTCCTCCTCTCTTAGTAGCCTGCTGCTTCAGCTGTTTCTTTGACAAATCTGATTTTTAAACCAAGTGGGTGAAAGGGAGGTTCATACTTTTAATTATTAATTGTAATTACCTTAATTTTCAACAATGAATTTTCTCAGCCCCTGGTCTTGTTTATGCAAGCAGCTGCTTCCTGACCCGCTATTAGCAAAACTTGTTTTCATATCTTTTTGCTTAATTGTACTCATGAACCTTACAGGTCTGTTTCTTATCTCAATTTCTTCTTCCTATTTTTCGATTTGTTTACATTTCCAATATCAGCAAAGCTATTTTCACTCTTTGACAGATTGCCATAAATCAGTTTCCCAATTCTGCCTTCGTCTTCAAAATTACCAAATATTGTAACTCAATTGACCCTTTCTTCTGTCTGGTAATCAAGAGATATGTTTTCGTAACTTCCACTTTAATTAGGGGGACATATATCGATTTTTTCAATTTCTGCTTTCATTTCCAACATTCCTAACTGACCTTGAATGTACTTTCACTATTATTTCTTGGTCCTCATGGATTGAAGCCTTCCACATGGCCCCTAATAAAATCTTTTCCCAAAACCAATAAAGTAATCATTTTCAGGTTTGTCTTTTCTTCCTTCTATGTTATTCCATACTTTTAACCCACTCTGCCTGTTCCAGTTAATATATTAAATTAACCTTTTCCTTTACCAGTATCACATAGTATCACAGTAATCCATTCCATTTTTCCATCTGTTTTTTTGTTTTCATGGAAAATAAGTCCCTGTAAATATGGATTAAAGCATAATTCTGGCCAGTCAAAGATAGTATTGTTCTTTTAAGATAGCAAGCATAACAATGACAAAAAAAAGAGTATAAGTCAGTAAAAATACTTTGATAACTGAATAATGATACTATGAATTTACATGAATAAAATGATAAATGCCTCTAAATTTTTCATCAGCCTAATAACTGAATAACAGAAGAAAGAAAAGTAGTAATTAAAGAAATATTGCCAGGATAATATGCAATTAACCAAATTCTAAAAATATAGAAGCGGAATTTCCAGTTTTAATAAACAATGGGAGGAATTTCCAGTTTTAATAAACAATGGGAGGAATTTCCAGATTTAATAAACAATGGGAAGGGGGTCTTTCCTGGTTTAACAAACAATGGAGGGCCATTCTTATAAAACATGGCCTTGTGCTGTTGTAACTTCCTTTTTAAAGGAAGTTAAAAATAGAGAAAGAGAATGGCTTTATAGTCATCCTTTTGATATACACTGTTTATTTCTTTTGATTTAAACAATCTGCTCATAGCAAAAATAGTTTTGCATGCTGCTTTTGTAATGAATATGGTTTTGGTACTGAAAAAATGCTACTATAACATTGCCTTGTATAGGTGCATGGATGTCTATGTTGTGCATGATTGATTAACTACTGGGCAAGTATCAGTCATACAATAAACCATTAGCAAATTAGAAGAAAATAAAAGGCAAAAGTTAGGTGGTAAAAGACAAAGTGACAAGAATCTTTGTTTTCTCTGAAACTTTTAACTGTTTTATAACATCAATAATGTTGATTATTATGATTATAATTGTAAGCACTTCTAGTCCCACTAAGGAATGCTGGGAGCAAATAGATCAAGCAGGAGTTTGAATAGAATAGCTGTTGAGTTTAGCATATCTTTGTGTTACCTCAAATTTTCAGCAAACAGCCTCATATAATTTATCTTTCCACCCTAAGCCCAGTGGAACGTTACCAATAGTTTTAGTTTGCATATTAATAATCATTTGGGAGCATGTCCTCACAAGAGTAAATATGTCACAAGTTCAAGTTTAATGTGGAGTAATTTCCCTTTGTTTCTATCATCCCTGTATGTGACAATAGGTAAATTATTAAGTCTATAAACTGATGATGAAAAAAAAAATATGTATGTTACACCACAGATATTTACTTTTCAACACTCTCCTTCCTTGTCAGCGCTCTTAATTCAGTAGTGAATATCCTATTAAAATTGTTCTTGTCCTTCCTTTCATTAGTTCATATGACTATTATGTCCTGCCAGTAGCTCATAAATAATGTACTATTTTGTTTTGATCACATAAAAAGAGGGGAAAAGACACAACTTGGTTTCAGCTAGAAAATGAATGAATGAAAGAAAGAAAGACAGGAAGATAGATTTAATGGCTGTTTCAGTGAAATGAAAAAGTTGTCAATTTCAAATGTTTACATTTGTACCCACTTCTTAAAATAACAATCAACATTCATATTTATGATTGTTATTGCAATATTTTGTTAAAGTTGTTAAGCTGAAATATTTAACAATGCAATAGGGGAATTTCTACAGATAGGTTATTGTCGTAGAACTTGTCATGAGCTTAATCAATCATTAACTTACGAATTAAGATTCGTCAGAATATTAAAATAGGAAACCGCAAATTTTTCACAGATTAAAACTAGTTAATATTAATCCCATAGATCAAACATTACACAATGAAAATTTCAGATCACAGATCAGTTAGTAAATATGTATTAGATTACAGACTTATTGATCCACACTCATATATATCATTCCCAAAATAATGCACTTATCTGGTCAGTTCAGATGACCATAAAAGTGAAAAATTGCTTTTCTGAAACCAAAAATAGTTAACAATCTTATAGAATTCAGATTTTCTTAAGAATGATCATTTTTGAATAAGAGTTGTTGTGGCCAACATTAATTCAAATATTTTAAGATATATATAACAGCAGGTCATGCTTTTTTTGTGGTTGGATAACTTCTCTCTTGACCTGCTGCTATTTCAAAAAAAAAGAATGATCCTAACTTGAGTTTTCAGACAGCATTCTGTAAGCAAGACACACATTTTTTTTTTTAAAACATCAGTGCTTTTTTTGAGTTTATCATCAAATATACTTATGATAAAACTGATTACTGACAAAATAGCAAGGTGTGTTTCTTTAAGAGAGACATTAAAGGCTGTAACCAGATATGAACTCAATTTGTCAAAATGCTGTTCTGAATAAAAGACTGTTATTTGTGAAGAGGAAACCTAATAAGTAAAACCTGATTGACCTATGATGCTACTTTTTTTTCATTTGTCATAGTAAACTAGCAACAAAATATTATCCTCAATAAATTTGCTGTCTGGAACCAAACTACATAAGCATATCGATAATTCCACAGATAAAGAAGCATTTATTTTACACAACAAATATTTATTTTTTATTTTGTTGTTTGTCAAGGTACTTAATTCAGTGATTAATATTTATCACATAGATCAAATATTATTCAATGAAAATTTCAGATTAAAATTATGTTAATAATTACATGTCAGCCTACAATCTTATTGATATATTCTTATATTAGGTTGAGTCATAAGTAATTTCCCTTTTTGAAAACCAATTGTAATGATGACTGTATTATCCTAACTGCTTCTTAAATATATCATAACAGATTATGAAAAATGGGTTATATACAACACTGTTCAATGGAAAAGAATGATAACTCTCCACAACCAATCCCAGGAGCTGAGCTCCATGGAAGAAAGGTGTGTGCTTGTAGGCATTGTTGGGGTATTATTTATTTCACTCAGTTAAGTGCCATATGTAATACACGCTTGGGTGATCATGTATCTTTCGATAAATGACTGACGAGGCAGACTTTTTCCCGCAGTAGGTTGCCATTCCTTTCTGCCATAGACTGGATGCCAACCAAGGCTAAAGAACCAAGTCTGTCCTGTTATTCAACCCATAGCTGGGAGAAGAAGAGATGAATTTTATACCAAGAGTATTTGTGTGTAAGTGAACCAAACAAACTAAACTGGAATTTGAGATTACTTAAAACAAAATGAAATACTAAATGCACATTTATATGTCCATTACCTACAAAATATCCATAAAAATTTGGTTGAAAACTGCTCTGCTGAAAAATGTTGTTCTCCTCCACAACAACACCAGGCCTCATACAGCAAAAATAACACAGGAAAAAAATTTGGAACTTGGTTGATCTATTCTACCCTACCTGCCATATTCACCTGACTTGCATCAACTGATTATAAAATTTTTCAATTGTTGCAAGACACTTTGATGGAGAAAACTTTCTCTAATGACAACAAGATTCAAGAGTTGAAATTTTTTTCACATCAAAACCTGTGGAATTCTACTTAAAAGGTATTGAAGTGACAAACAAGTCACTGCATATAGTGGTGAATATATATTTGAATAAAAAGTAATTGTACTTTCTTTTTTGAAGAGTAAAGTTGAAAAATGGAAATTATTTGTCACTCAAATTAATATATATGAATTTTTTAGTTATTTCCTGAATATTCTTTTCAATATCTAAACTTTAGTTTAATTTCCTTTGTGTGTTGGTGAATTAATATATGTAGATATGTGTACATAAGCATTAATAGTTATTTCTTTTTTTATTTTAACAAATTTAAAAATTTAAGTCAGTTTTATTCTATGTAAAGATGTAATTGTCACTATAATTTATTTTCATCTTCTCTTGAAATTGTGATAAAACTATATGGAGCAGTTATAATATTTTGATAATAAAATGAACATAAAAAAATTCCTGCAAAAATATCTTTAAATATGGTTGCTCTAGCCTCCTGATAAAAAAAATAATTAGAAACAAGTAAAAAAAGTAATTTGTATTCTTTTCATGCGGAACAAACAAAGGATACTAATTATTTATCTGAATTGTTGAATTGTTTTAATTATTCCACAAATTATTTAGACTAGTATTCTTATCTTAACAATTGGTTACAATTAGAATGCTGTAACAAAAACAACAAAGATGATGATACTAGCCCAAATAATCACAGAATAATATTAATTACTAGCTGAAGTACCTGGTGTTGCCTGGGTGCACATGGCTGCAATTGTATAACCACACCCCCTGTCTAGAATGTCTGCCTGCATCCATCATCCGTTGATATACTAAGCTACTCCCCCACCTCATTTATTTTTTACAGTACGTCCTTTGTAAATATTTCATTGTTCTTAATAAAGGAATTCCACTGATAAAACCTTCTTGTGTGGTTGTTGCTTGAGGTTAAATTGTTTCAATGTTTTAGATATTTAGTAAATTTCCTATGGCCATAATAGCTTTCAAATAGTATGGCATTTTTCACAAATTTAATAATCAAACAAAAACAGGGTTCAAGCATCAGAGATTGATTTAAGTGCAAATTCATGAATGCCTCCTCTCCTTCTTTGCATGTTTACTGTAAAGATGGGGTTGATAAGAGGTTCTTCAGGAGTTTTCTTATTTAATACTTCAATAATCCTTTTCAAACAATCTTTGTATCAAAGGTTGTTCGAATGCCAATTTAGGAGGAAATCATATGAAGAAACTATTGGCTTCTTGCAGATTTTGTCCACTTAACTGAAATAATCTAAACCAAACATTCATGTAAGATAATTTGTGTGTCATATGTAATTTACATGGCAAATTTAGAAAGCATCAGATAAAAAACCAGGGAGTTGTAGCCAAAAAAATGGGCTTTTTGAACAGTTTTGTTATATGTGGAGAAACAAGCAGAACTAAAACCACACTATCTTATATTTTGCATGATGGCAAATTTTTTGCAACATGTTTGCAGAAAATCAAATAAAAAATGAGGAAGTTATTCAAATTTTTATTGTAAGTAGTATGAAAAACCCAATTTTTTTTCATTTTTTCGCAATTTTTTGTGTGAAACCAATGTCGCAGAAAACTATCAAGCACTCTACGTAAACCTCGTAAAATGATCTATGTTTTGCATTAAGTGCAAAGAACATCAGCTCATCCAGTAAAAATTTTGTTCATGTGGAAGTTTGCCTTGGTTTTTGCAAAAAGTCATACCCACCTTCAGTTTTATCAATTTTTCTGCCAAACGTTGGTGATCTGGAGATTGAAAAGTTGGTCTTCACCTACCTGGTAAAGTTGCAACATGTGCGTACAATTTCATCAAAATCAGGTGAGAAATGTGGATGTGCATAAATAGTACACACACACACATCTGTTTTATAGATGTAGATAGCATTTCAATATATGTCATAAAAAATAAAATATTGGAAATCACAATGAATAAGAAATAACTTACCAGAGAATTGTTTTTATGGTTTGAACTCTTGTTGTAAGGGCTTGGACAGAAACTCTTGAAATCATCACTCTTATTGGTCTTAAAATTCTCAACAAATGTCTGATTCACCATTGCAACCATGGCAATACTGAGGTCAATACGAATACTGTAAGCAACAACAGCAGCAAGCCATCCCAGGAACATCAAATTGTAACGGATGGGGAAACAACCTGAAAATATGCATGACATAAGATAAGTATAAATAGATGTATAGGAAAGTGTGTGTATATATATATATATATATATATATAGAGAGAGAGAGAGAGAGAGAGGTTTGGCTAAATAATTTAGACATATCATGTTTCGTTTTCATTGTGATCCTTTCAAGTTATGGTCCCAGATGAAATTGAAAGTACTTGAGAAAATAAAAACTATTCAAAAGAAAATTTTAGTATTTTTCTTACTCAATTTTCTAAATCTATCAAAAAATTAAGATACAAACTTGAAAGGATCAAAATGAAAACTAATCGACATGATATGTCTAAATTTAACCAAACCTGTTTGAATGAAAATATGCAGCCTAAATACACACACACACACACACACATATATATAACCAAAAAATACTATTCTTAAAAGAGTGCTCAATACAGAATATAGCAAATATAATTTATTCAAAACTTATAAATATGTTATAAAATCACTACAAAAATAGCCATTTTGTTTCAACACTTCTGGTGTCTTATCAAGTGATGATGGTGTTCAATGTACATATATAATATTAATATAATATATATGTATATATATGTGTATGCATATATGTATGTATATATATATATATATAATGTGTATATATATATATATATATATATAATGTATATATATATAATTATATAATATATATATAGATATTATATATATTATATTATATATATATTATTATATATATAATATAATTATATATATATACATATATATATTATATAATTATATATATATACATTATATAATTATATATATATATATATATATGTGTGTGTATATGGCATTAAAGGCAAGAACTTTTTTTTTTTACTATAGGCCATGATAAATTTTAAAACAAAAACACGAACGCAAGTCGACCAGTTTCATCCCCTCTCGTCAGAACTGGTTTCCAGTCAACTTTGATCTTCAAAAATGTAAATGCAATGTCAATCATTATCTTCAGTCTTCTTGATTCCTGTTCTTTTATTGTTCTCCTTTTCTTAATAACATTTTCTTTTTCACATATAATCTCAGTCAGTAACCCCTTACATCTTAGTGACTTTATTGCCTTACTTCAGATGAAACAAAAGAAAAATTTTTTCAAATTCATTTTCTTTAGATATTATTACTTTTAATGATTTAAAAATCAAAATTCTTTCATATTGTAGATGCAACAATAAACTTAATTTAGTTTACTCATACAAAAATATAGTCCAAATTAATTTAAATATTACCAAATGGGATCAATATATATATATATATATATATATATATATAAGGTCATCCCATAAGTTGTGTCCGAATTTCAACTTCTTGTTAAAATTAATGAAATTTAAAGAGTATTTTATAAAGTTTAATGGAGCTGAACATTATTTTTATGTTTTGATGCATTTAAACTGATCAAATTTTATTTCAGGAAACAATAAAATTAAATTTTGTTTGATTAAAACCCTGCTAACTTGGAAGTACCCAAGAATCATTTGATGCACATAATACTTTATGAGTTCAAGAAAGGAAACTCAGCAGCCGAAGTGGCTAGAAACATTCACTCAGTTTATGGAGAGGAATGTGTGAATGAAAGAACTTACATATTAATTTCTATAAGAAAGCTCTAAAAGATAGTGGCTACAAAACCCCAAAACTAACTTATATAAAAAAGGAAAATAGAAAGCATAGAAAAAACAGAAGTAGAAAAATAATTTGGTATACACCCCCATATAACCAAATGGCAAAGAACAAATTAGGACAAAAATTTACTTGCATTAATAGTTAAACACTCTCTTTGAGAAAATAAACTAAGTACTATTTTCAATAAAAATACACTAAAATTAAGTTACAGCTGTACTGAAAACTTAGAAAAAATTATTAAGAAACATAATGCTAATATCTTTAATAAACACTAAGACCAAAACCAAAGAAATTTAAACAATATAAAAATAAAATCAAAAACAGATGTAGATAAATAAAATTTATGTAATTGTAGAAACCCTCATAACTGTCCTCTAGAAAATAAATGTCACACAGAATCATTAGTATACCAATGCAATATCTCATCTATTGAGAACCCCGAAAACATAAATATCTATATAGATTGCATTAGCCATGAGTTCAAAAAGTGGTTCAATCAACATCAAACTTCATTCAGGATAGATAAGTACAGAAATCAAACATCACTCTCAAAGTATTTCTGGCAATTAAAAGAATCCAATGAAAAACCAACAGTAAAATGGAAATTAATAATAAAAGCAAGAATATGTAGGTCATTAGATGACCCATGTCCTTTGTATATATATACTATATTACTAAATTTAAAAAATAAAATTTACTGAATCAGAGAAATGAAATAGCTATCAAAGTCATTGTCAAAGTTTTCTGGCAATTTAAAAGTTGTTTTTTTAAAAAATAAATAAGTCTATTAGTAATAAAAGTAAAAATATTTTAAAATGAAAAACAATAGGAAAAAATAATGAAAAACTTTCTGCAGTAAAAAGAAAAACCCAGACGACATGCAAACAGATATCAAAATTCATTGAAATATAAACCTCTACCCTACCTAAACTTAACCTATTTTAATATGTGTGTTTTGAAAAACTCAGATTCCTCTGTATCCTTAGAAACAGTAAATTATGAATTTTATGTGTGTTTAAAATTAAATTAAAAAAATAAGTTACTCCAATATTTGCTTGAAGATGAAACAGAACTAACAATATATATAATATATATATAAATATATAATATGTATGTATATAATATATATATATATATATATATATATATATGTATATATAAATAAAAAGAAAGAACAGTAAATTATATAATCCGATGTTCTTGTTATTTTTTTATTTCTATTTTTACAAAACAGTGCTCAATGTAAATGTACAGAGCATAAATATTATAAATTAATTGATTTAAAATATGGTTTACTTCGCTACACAGTACTAACCATGTTTTGAAAATGTGAGCTAAAAACTTTAAATTTAATTATATAATTAAATTAAATGCATTAGTTCCGTTTCATCTTCAAGCAAATATTGGAGTAACTTATTTTTTAATTTACTGAGTTTTAAACACACATATAAATTCATAATTTACTGTTTCCAAGGATACAGAGGAATCCAATCATTCAGACAGGGGCTGTAGCATGTTCATTTTTATTAACTACTAGCAGTAGAGCCCGGCGTTGCCTGGGGGTGTAACAGTAAGAGATAGATCAAGTATCGACCATCATAAAGACTGAAAAATAAAATTGGCAAAGATTATTTTTTGAGGTTGATGGACACACATGTCTTGATTAGTTTTTTTTTTTTTTACGAATTGGTCAAACTCAAACAAAAACATTGTTTTCAATTGTTATGAGTCTACCGATTGAATAGAATTTTATTATAAACAAATGGAATTTTTAAAGCATTCTGAATGTAAAAATAAAGAAAAAAGTGTGCAAGACAATAAGAAACACTACCTGCCAAAAAAAAAGTGAAGTTTTGTTGAAATCGGTTGAAAAATGTAGGAAATTCGATCCCATATATAAACGAACACACACACACACACACACCCAAACAAACAATCTGGGTTTTATAATAAGTATAACTCGATATGAGTTTTCCCCCTTTCATTCTTGCAATTATTCTCTTAATCGTGTTTTCAAATTGTTTATTCAAAAACAATTGTTTTTCCAATTTTTGGCGCTGTCAGAACCACCGCAAGGTAATTTTACATAGTCCTATGAAGTTTTGTTGAAATCGGTTGAAAAATGTAAGAAATCCGATCCAATATATAAACGTACAGACACATACATACACACACACACAACCTGGGTTTTATAATAAGTATGATTGGTGTATCAATTATGAGTTACATTCGAAAAATAGGTTAAGTTTAGGTAGGGTAGAGGTTTATTTTTCAATGAATTTTGACATCTGTTAAATGCATGTCGTCGGGGTTTTTTTTTACGGCAGAAAGTTTTTATTATTTTTTCCTTGTATACTCAACAATGTTTTATGCGTGTTTGTGTTAAAATATGTTTTATTAAACTACAATTTTAGAATATTTTTACTCTTAATTACTAATAGACTATATTTATTTTTAAAAACAACTAAATGTAATAGAATTACTTAGATTATTTAAAATTATTTTTTCATATCAAATATAAGTATGTATATTACCAGTTCCCATTTTTTTATTTTATTTTTAAATTTATTTTTAAATATTATTTAAGGAAAATTTTTGACAATGACGGCAAAAAATAGCTATTGAAAATTTTGATTTTTAAATCATTAAAAGTAATAATATCTAAAGAAAATGAATTTGAAACAATTTTTCTTTTTCTGAAGTAAGGCAATAAAGCCACTAAGATGTAAGGAGTTACTGACTGAGATTATATGTGAGAAAGAAAATGTTATTAAGGAAAGGAGAACAATAAAAGAACAGGAATCAAGAGGACTGAAGATAATGATTGACGTTGCATTTACATTTTTGAAGATCAAAGTTGACTGGAAACCAAGAAGCCAGAAAATATTTCTAGAAGCAAAAAATACAAAAGAGGAAACTGTGAGCATAAAACTTACACATACATCTAACCATTTCAACTGTAAAATGATGAGGCATTGCCACCAATCTAGTACTGCGCTTAAATTCATAACATCTAGGTACCAAAGAAGAAAGCTGTTCAGAACAATTATCATAAAAATATTTATAGAAAATGCAAAGTGAAGGTACATTATGGTGGTAGGAAAGTGATTGCAAATCTTTTTTTGTATTTTATCAAGAATTTCCAGAGCAGATGTGACAGCAATATTCAATGCATGGACAAATGATATGAGTAATAATAAAAAATACAATCAATATATATTGATCATATTACAACATCTCTCTTGGGAAGATTGACCTTTCACCTTTTAAGTAAAGCTCCATACAAACGAGACTTACAAATGTGTAAAATAAATTCTGATGAGAAAAACTGTCTAGCATGACACAGTGAACCAACTTT